AATAACTAAATGATAATTCTTATCTGGATACCATTAAGCTGATGATTATTAGATCCAAATATGAACAAGTACCCATCACAGAGTCAATGATTTGACCCAAGATACAACTCAAGGGGGGAAATGTAAGACCCACTGTTTAATTCTAAGCCCTACCTGCCCTAGGACCAAGTAACTTCCTAGAATGCTGGTAGTTGCAGTTTTCGGAAAAGACAAAGCCTCATGGGAAAATATGATGTCCATAAAAAGTTCCATAACACTCTGGGGGCCACTCAGCTGGAAATTCCAGGGAGTGTACCTAACCCTTTTTCCCCAAGTTGCTTTTGGTGCTTTATCACATCAGTAGAAACCCTAACTAAGACAGACAGAGAAGTGTTGTAATGAAACATAGAGAAAACTACTGGTGACTTGGAAAGCTTAATAAAACTATAGTAATAATTACAACAATTACATTAATCTAAATGATAAGGCTGGGCCTTGGTCAGTAGTATGCTTGCCTAACATGTACAAAGCCGTGGACTCATTCCCCAGCACAACATTGAAAATAGCATGGTAAGACTGGGAAGGTGGTGGTGCACACTATTTTTTTTTCCCTTAAGATGGGGTTTCTCTGTGTAGCTCTGGCTGTCCTGGAACTCTCTTTGTAGACCAGGCTGGCCTCGAACTCACAGAGATCCACCTGCCTCTGCCTCCCAAGTGCTGGGATTAAAGGCGTGCACCACCACCACCACCACCACCACCACCACCACCACCACCACCACCACCACCACTGCCCAGCTATTAAATTTCTTTTTTTTGTTGTTTTGTTTTGTTTTGTTTGTTTTGTTTTTCGAGACAGGGTTTCTCTATGTAGTTTTGGAGCCTGTCCTGGATCTTGCTCTGTAACCAGGCTGGCCTCGAACTCACAGAGATCCACCTGGCTCTGCCTCCCGAGTGCTGAGATTAAAGGTGCACGCCTTTAATCCTCATCTACAGAGTGAGTTCCAGGACAGCCAGAGGTATACAGAGAAACCCTGTCTTGAAAAACACAAAACAAAAGAGAGAACCTGACATGGTGGTACACGTGGTGGCAAGCAGGATCAAAACTGGCTCAGCAGTTAAGAGCATTTTGCTCTTGCAGAGTTCAGATCTCAGCAACCACATGGTGGCTCACAGTCATCACAATTCCAGTTTCAGGGGATCGAGTGATCCTTTCTAGCCTCCTCAGGTACCAGGATTGCATAGAATGTGCATACATACATATAGGCAAAACACTCTTTTTTTTGGGGGGGGGGTTCCGAGACAGGGTTTCTCTGTGTAGCTTTGTGCCTGTCCTGGAACTCGCTTTGGAGACCAGGCTGGCCTGGAACTCACAGAGATCCGCCTGCCTCTGCCTCCCGAGTGCTGAGATTAAAGGCATGCACCACCACCGCCCCGCAGGCAAAACACTCTTACACATAACACCCAGAAGTAAAACTATTATACATCTGTTTTTAAAACATCCAAGGTCATTCTGCCTCAAGGGATCCTGCCTCAATATGTACAGAGCAATCAAGCAAGACAGAAATGTCAACCTGGGTTTATATATATGGATACTTTCACACATATGCACAGGTACCTGCACACATGTATAGACAGATGTGAATGCACATACATATGTACATATGCAAAATAATTCTAAAAATTTCCAGAGACGTTTTGTTTCAGATTCCTATGTTACCTTCTCAGATTCTTATTTAAGAATATTTGTTCTAAATGAGGCAATGGTGGTGCATGCCTTTAATCCCAGCGCTTGGGAGGCAGAGGCAGGCAGATCTCTGTAAATTCAAGGTCAGTCTGGTCTACAAGGCAAGTTGCAGGACAGCCAAGGCTGTTAAACAGAGAAACCTTGGAAAAAATAATGTTCATTCTTTGCCTTTGTATACTAAAAGTCTGTGGCTTTTTTTTTTTCATTTTATGAGGCTCATAGTTAAGCATGATTTGAGTCTCAGAAGGGATTTTGACTTTTTTTTCTTTCCTTTTTTTGAGACAGGGTCTTACTGTGTAGATCTGGCTGACCTGGAACTCACTATACAGAATAGATCAGGCTGGCCTTAAACTCAGAGATCTACCTGTCTCTGCCTGAATGCTGGAATTAAAAGTGTGTGTGCAGGCAAAAACTTTGTACTTTGAGCAGCATTGAGACTACTAAATATTATGGGAATATTTATGGATGGAATAAATGAATTTTGCATTATAAAATGAAATGAGACTGCATGCATGGATCAGGGCCGTAATGCTATGACTTAAAATGTTGTTTTTATGTTGAGAAGGGTTTTTGCTGTAGTCTTCATTAAACCGAACTGCATTTAAAATGAGCATAGAAACACACCTCTGGGTATGTCTATGAGGGTGTTTTCAAGAAGGTTTAACTAAAGAGTGAAGGCCCAGCCTGAATGTGGATGGCATCATCCTATGGGTCAGGGCCTTGGGCTGAACAGGAAGGAGAAAGCAAAACCAGCATTCACTTCTCTCTGCTTCCTGACTGAGGCCACTATGTGACCAGTCTCATGTTACTTTCTCCATGTCATCCCTGCCACAGTAGACTGTAATCCTTTTAGAACTATGGAAAATAAGCCCCTCCTTAAGTTACCTTCGTCAGGTATGTTGTCACAATAAGTGACTAACAGTTTCCTTGCAAGGATGACGTCTTTATTGTAGCTGTTGGTAGCAAATGATGTGGGTAAACATTTAGCAGTGTCTATCACACAATGGGGATTCAATATATTACACTTATTTTTATTAATTTTGATGGATATTTTTATATTTAAAAATACAAAATCACCATTAATCTTTTCCCTGTTTTTATTCTCTTTTCAATTTTTTCCTCTTCAGTTTTAGTTTTTAGCATCTTTTATTAGTAAAAAATTTTATACAATGTATTTTGATCATAGTCACCACAGTCCCTGACTCATCCCAGATCCACCCTCCTTTCCCTTTGTATCTAACTTTGTGTCTTCTTTCTTTTTTTAAAACCTATCAAGTACGTTTGTGCTGCCCTTATACTCTTGGATGTGTGTGGAGCATGGTTGACCTCTGAGTGACCATGCTTCCTTAAAGAAAAAGGACTCTGTCTCCTAGCAACTATCATTTGTAGTTGTTTTTTCTTTTTAATCTTTGGGGGTCCTCCAACCAGCTCCCAAATAAACACATGAATGCCTGGCCTTAGCTTGGCTTATTTCTAGCCAGCTTTTCTAACTTAAATTATCCCGTTTTTCTTTATGTTTTGCCTCTGGCCTTTTTACCTTTCTTTATTCTATATTTCTTTCTTTCCTTCTTACTCCATGGCTGGTTGTGTGCTGGGTGGCTGGCCCCTGATGTCCTCCTCTCCTTCTCCTCTTCTCAAGTCTAGAGTTCTTCTCCTATTTATTCTCTCTGCCTGGCAGCCCTGCCTATTTCTCTCTCCTGCTGAGCTATTGGCCATTCAGCTCTTTATCAGACCAACCAGGTGTTTCAGACAGGCAAAGTAACACAGCTTTATAGAGTTAAACAAATGCAACACATCTTCACATCATTAGACAAATATTCCACAGCATAAATGAATGTAACACATCTTCAAATAATATTCCACAACAATCGTTTGCCAACAGCAACCTCAGCAGGGGTGGGGCTTTATGCCCACCTCCCCTCTGCATGCTGAGATCTTGTTTGGTCTTGTGCATACTGTCATGACTGCTGTGAGCTCACACACCCAATCGCCCTTCTGAGTTCAGAACACAGTTTTCTTGCAGTCATCCTCTTGTTCTTAGAACCTTTTTGCCCCCATCTTAGTTACTGTCCTAGTGCTGTGAAGAGACACCATGACCACCGAAACCCTTATAAAATAAAGCATTTAATTAGGACTTGCTTACAGTTTCAGAAGTTTACTCCATTATCATCATGGCGGAGAACATGGCAGCACACAGGCAGACATGGTGCTGGAGTAGCTGAGAATTCTACATCCAGATCTATAGACAGCAGGAAGAGAGAGCCTGGGCCTAGCATGGGCTTTTGAAATCTCAAAGTCCACTCCCAGTGGCACACTTCTTCCAACAAGGCCACACCTCCTAATCCTTGTCAAATATGTTTTCCATTTAGGGCCGAGTGTTTCATGGTCTTTGATCCTCTGCACCTTGGTCAGTTGTGAGTCTCTGTGTTAAGCTCTATTACACAAAGAGGGGTCTTTGATGATGCTGAAAGATGCACTAATCTGGGTCTCTGTGCCATGTACCTTATTTTCTGTTTTAATGTTTTGTTTTTTTTTTTTTGAGACAGAGTTTCTCTGTGTAGCTTTGTGCCTTTCCTGGATCTCGCTCTGTATACCAGGCTGGCCTTGAACTCACAAAGATCCGCCTGGCTCTGCCTCCCAAGTGCTAGGATTAAGGGCATGCGCCAACACCGCCCGGCCTGTTTTAATGGTTTTAAAATCTCAATTTTTAAAGAGAAAAGAACAATTAGAAATTGGCTTATCATTTAGTCCTTTGTGTTGGCACTGAAGTTTCTTACCAGGAAGTGTTCGTTCTAGGGAGCTGAGACCTCCTGGTAGTGAGGACAGCTGTGACACTGCACCCTGGCTCAGTACTATTCCTTCTTTTCTTTAGGTTTTTTTTTTTTTTTTGGGCGTGTGTGTGTGTGTGTGTGTGTGTGTGTGTGTGTGTGTGTGTGTGGTGCTTGGGATCAAACACATGCTCTATCACTGAGCTACAGCTATGTCTCTAGTCTTAAATTGTCAGATCATACCGGATGTCACTTTGTCCATGCACTTAATTTTACTTCCCTGATGGAATATCTTAAAATTACATAGGCATGCTGGGCAGTGGTGGCACACGCCTTTAATCCCAGCATTTGGGAGGCAGAGGCAGGTGGATCTCTGTGAGTTCAAGGCCAGCCTGGTCTACAGAGCGAGATCCAGGAAAGGCGCAAAGCTACACAGAGAAACCCTGTCTCGAAAAACCAAAAAAAAAAAAAAAAAAAAAAAATTACATAGGCATAAAGAAGAATTTAATCCTATGTTGTTGTGTTAAATTATTATTGACTCCTATCATGGCTGGAGTCCGAAATGATCCTTAAAGGCTCGTGGGCTGGGTCACCTCTTCCCAGGCTGGTGGAGATGCTTGGAGGAGGCTGTGGAACCTTTGAGACATGTAGCAGAGATGGTTACTAGGGGTGGAGCCTTAAAGTTTATAATCACCTCTGGTTCCTGCCGAGGTTTGTTTCCCAATCTGCCCAGAAGAGCAGCAGCCCCAAGCTTCTGTCACCACTGAGGAAGCCACTGCCCATTCCGCCCCCAGCATAAAATTGAATACTCTGAAACTGAGAACCGAAAGAGAATTCCTTCAAGTAGTTTCTGTTATGGTATTTCGTTACAGGTATAAGGAAGAGGAATATAAGGATAAGGAAAATACAGTCTCCTCCCCAGCTTCCAGCCCCTCCCTTATTATTTTGCTTATGTACCTTTCCTGTTCCCACTCTGCTAACAAGAGGCAATGTGGAAATGTGGAAACTAAGATCCAGGGGTCACTGAAGCACCACATCCTACCCAGTCCACTGTACTCTGCGGATAGATATGTAAGCCAATTTTGGTCCTGAGATTTGAGTCAGCATTGAAGACTACACAGGGTTGACTCCCGATTTTAGAGTTACGCTCCGCTTTTACTAATGGTGTAATCTTGGAAACGGCTGACTCTAGTACACGCAATTCCCCACCCTGGGTATGTGAATCACAATGAAAATCTAGCTAGATTATCCTCATGACCCCATTAGATTCGCGGCTCCCTGGGGTCAACACAAGGGAGACCCCATTCTGGCGTGATCGGATTGCCTTTTATTTCACTCTCTGCGGCAACACTCGGTCGCGCTGTACACGAATGAGAACACCAGAGGCTCTGAGCAGACCCCTTAGGGGACCAGAGGCAGAGGAAGGCCCTTGCACAGGCCACGCCCCTGCCCTTCCCGGCACCGCCCTCGGGTTCGAGGGATGGAAACTAGGCGCGGGGTGCTGCGGGGATCGGCCCGCTGAGCGTCCTCCTGCCCTCCGGGGAAGATCCGGCCGTCCCCGAGCCTTAGGAGCTTCTGCCCTACAGATTGACTCTCTAGGCTTTCCGTTTCCCTTCCAGCAGGGAGGGTGGAACTTCCTGTTTTCTCTCGGAGGGACTTCCGGAAAGTACTGACGGACTGAAAACAACTCGACACGCCGAGCTGCGGGACAGTCAAGGGGAAAAAAAAAAGAGGACGTGAGCTTGGGTTTTTACCAAGACGGTTATAAAACCTTTGTGTTCCGGTGATGGTGTTCTGCGCTCCATCCAGCTCAGTCGCCCTGGGAACCGCCGGAAGTAGCTCAACGGAGAAACAGGAAGTCCCGCCTCTTCCTCCCAGAGGGAAGACGGTGAGCCGGAGGAGTCAGTCAGAGGGCCGAGCAGGAGCGATTTCCCCGACAAACAGGTGAGTTATTCTCCGACGGGGCGGGGGGTCCGGGGGCGGGGATGGTTTGGCGTCGGCGCGGGGTCCGGGGGCGGCGGCCTGCGGGCCCGGGCGGGCGGCGCGGCGTCGGGAGCCCGCGGGCCGGCCGCGCTCCCGCCCCCTCCCCCGCCTCCGCCCCTCCCCGCCGGGGCCGACGCCGCCCCGCCGCACGCCGGGACCCACGCCCTCGCCTGTCGGCGGCGCACGTCCCGCTGCCCGGCGCCCTCCGCCCCGTGTTGCAGCTGGCGCTGCCGCGGCGGCCTCGCGCCCCCTCGGGCCCCTCGGGCATGGGTGTCCCCTCGGTCGGCGCGTTGACAGCCTTTGCTCAGAGTCGCCGCGCAGTCCCCGGCCGGCTCCGAGACTGGCGGTTCCCCGGTCCGTCCCGGGGGCGGGGGAGAGCACGCTTCCCCGGCCGTGGCGCTGCCCAGCCTCCGCTCCGAGGGACGGGCTTCCCAGCACCGGCTCCGGGCAGCCCGCTCCTGTGCACCCGGGGGCCCTGCCTTAGCCGCTGCCACTCGCGCTTCTTCCGTTACGCCATGCTGGTGACAGGGAGCCCACGACGGAAAGGGAGGCTCCTGCCCTGCGCGACTGCCGGGAGACTCGGGCCGCTGCAGGCGGTCGACAGCGGACAGCCTGGCAGTGGGCAGCGCGCCCCTTCCCACTTACCTCCGCGCCCTCAGGAGCGCCGGGTGGCTGTGCTTGCCTTCAGTCTGCAGTTCAGGCTGCAGGGCATTGGGAGCAGTAGCTACTGACCCCTGTTGGTCGCGTTGGGTTTTGAGTTTGGTTCTGGAATAGGAGGACCTCTTGATGGAGTTGGCATCTGTGAACACACCACTCCACACAGTCACTCACACCCATTGTCCTCTCTCCCCTTCTCTCTCTCCCCCCAACTCCAGCCTTTCCCTCTCCTCCCCCCGCCTCACTCTGTCTCTCAGATTTCTTATATTAAAGGCAATCATATCTAATGGTGACTTTTTAGCCTATGCTTGACAGGGCTAGTCACACACACAGTGTACCTAATTGGTGGGATGTTAGTTCATTTTGAAACAGTACTGATGAGAAAGTGTTCGAAGACCCCCTGTCAGTTGAACATACTCATAAAGCAGGACAACCTTGTATTGCAGTTACTCCCGATTTACAAACATCCAGTACATAACTTGAGCAAAATCAATGTCCGCATTCAAATGTTTAAGATTGTCTTGTTACAATAAGATTATTCCTCCTATTGGTGCAAACCAAGCTCTGTGGTATAGCAGATGTAATAATTGTTTACTGAAGACTGGTTTCATTAAAAAAACTTTTTTTTCAGATTTGTAGAAAAGTTGCAGGGTAGCACAAACAGTGGATTTGGTACTAAAGCAAAGTGTCTCTACTTCAAAAGCACCACTTCCTGTTTGTGCCAGCCATCATTCTAGGTTCTGGAAAACTAAGATTTGTTACTTTAATAAATATACCTTGTAAGTGCTAAAACAGAGATCTGGAAATATAGAGGAAGTTACACCTACTGACCTGGTGGGGTGATGTAATCTTGCCAGACACAACATTTGAGTTTGGTGGCAAGTTTTAGTAGGCATGTACTTCATCGGGGGCAATTTTCCCAAATTAGGCTTTTCGTACTGGAAGAGAACACTAGTGAAATATATCCTAATTTGTTTCCTTATTTGTCTTTTAAGAAAGTGGTTTGCTAATTAAGTGATGAAAAGAACCCTAGTTTGTAAATTCATGAGTTAAGCTGTGAGTTCCACCTGGTGCTTTGACACTCTTGGAGATGAGTGGTAATGGGTGTTTATGCATGGCAGTCCGCCACTCCCCCAGCTGTAGAAGTCATACAGGAAACATTTCTTGCCTGCTTGCTTTGTGCTGGTCACTGCAGCAGGTAAGCTGATGGACGGGATAGTAGAGTACTAGATAGTAACTGGCATTGGCAGTGCAATCCTGTGTTGAGACAGTGTGTTCTGAGGGCAAGGTGTTACAGTGCCACACATGGTTCTCGGTTGTCAACTGTCGGAGTGCCTTCGACTGACGTAAACAGAAGAGGCACAGACTGGAAGATAGTAGACAGCAGGCTGGAGAAGTGTGTTTGAAGAGAGACTGGGTGCTTTAGCTCACAGCCCAGGCCACATCCCATAGTAGTCTGGTTAGAAGTTTGCTGCTGACAGTGTTCCCACTGGAGAAGCTGCCACCTGTGTTGATGATTGAATCCCTTATCCCACGGGGGCAAAAACATTCTTTGTGCCTCTGCATCCTTGTGACATGTAAAGTTCCAAGTGGTAGGATGTAAAATTTGCCAAACCACTCTAGTTCCTAGGGAGTGGAGAGAGACAGTATATGTTCTGTGGCACAACTCTCACAAACAACCATGGATTCCTTCCAAATAAGAAGGTAACTTCCAAAGCAAAAAGGTTTAACATGACTTGTTACCAGTCAGCTTGCTGGATTTCCATTGTTAATTTACCCTTAAAAATTGGCTAAGCAAGGAAAAGTGGCATTTTCAGTGCTGGCTGGTCCTTAGAACTTTTGTGTATTACAGACTTCAGCTTTTGAAAGTTGTGAGTGAAGGCAGCAGGAGGCGGGGTACCTACTACTGTTGGTCTGGTGCAGCCCCAGGTACCAGGACCCTTAGCTCTCTGTGAGTATTGTAGTGTTTGTGTGGGTTTAAGGAATCCAGATTCCTCTGCTCTTAGCAGTAACTGTCATTGGAATTTCTGGGTGGGATAGTGTCTTAGTTACTGTTCTTTGACTGTGAAGAGACACCGTGGCAGTTTATGAAAGGAAGCATTTAATTGGGGGCTTGCTTGTAGTTTCAGAGGGTTAGTCTACGATCATCATGGTTGGAAGCATGGTGGCAGACAGGCATACATGAATGCATGCATGGTGCTGGGGCAGTTGCTTACCTGAGTTCTGCAAGTTCCAGGCAGAGTGAGAGTAAGACCTGGCCTGGACTGGGTTTTTAGAACATCAAAAGTCCATTCTCAGTGACACACCTCCCCCAACAAGGCCATTTCTTCCTTGAGGTCTCCTCAGGGAGGCAAACTTGGTGTTGTCACAGTGTACATTGTCCTGCTTTCTCTTGGTGCTGATCTCTTTAATAATCACAGCTTTTTCTATACTTGTTTTGTCCACAACTTGAAAGATGTTATTACCACTTTCTTAGCCAGACTGACGCTTTTTCAAATTTTTGTGCTCTGTTTTTTGTCTTTCTTACTGTAAATCTGGTTAAAAGCATGCTACGATATCTTGGAATTCTCTTCCCCAAATATAAATTAGTCCACATTCCTTTTGAATTGAGCCTTGCTCAGATTTTCAGAACATGGACAAACTACAGCTAGGTTGTTTGCCAGAACTTAAGAAGAATGGTGTTTAGTCTAATACCCAGTAGGCTCCTTGTTCCTCTCTGTCAACTCACGAATACATTCTTTCCTGTCTGCATTTCTGTTAACATTCTGGTCTGTAGACATCCCAGAAAAATTACCTGTTACTTTTTGTGTGTAACATTCTAGAGCTTCTTTAGCTTACGTTTCCAGGCTCTTTCACATTCCTCTTGCACACCAGTTCCAACAGCATAAACACTGCAGGGCCAGGGTTAGTTGCGGTAATGACCTCAGTTCTTTGATACCCGTTTTGTTTTTTTTTTTGGTATTAGTTAGTTTTGCATTGGCTGTGACCAAAATACCTGACAAAGCACCCAAGGGACAAATTTATTAGCTCATTGCTTCAGGGAGCTGAAAATGTAGGAAAGCATGGTGGAATTCATGGCATTGGGAACATGTGCTGCAGATCAGGAAGTGCAGAAAACAGGTTGAAATCAGGCAGGTGATCTTTTGCCCAACAGGCTCTACTTCCTAAAGGATTTACAAGCTTTAAAATAAGACCACAAGCTGGGCATCAAGAGTTCAAAACTGGAGCATGTGGGGACATTGCAGATTCAAATATCACAACCCACAATCTCACGTGTATACGTACCTATTTCTGTATTAAAGACTTCTTTTGGTGAAAAGTGACTTTTATTCTTTTCATTTATTCTCCTCCAAATATACTATCTCACTATTGTAATTAGATTGTGGTTCCAGCAATTCTATTTACCTGTCTGTCGTGACTACCTACAGTATAACAGAAGTAGCTGCAGAGAAGACTGAAGTTGATGGCGTATTAAAGTATAAAGGACCTTATCACTTCCTAAAGTTGTGTCTATAACTTTTTCCCACAGGTAGCTCTGGAGGAGGAATCTTTTGGGGAGAGGGTGAATAGGGTTGAATAGCCCCCAACAAGAAGTTTCATTTCTCCTTTTGAGCATTGTTGCTTTTATGTGCATGGTTATTTTCTGCATGTTACTTTTTTTTTTTTAACAGTTTGGCTCTCTTGTGTATACCCCAGAAAATTGGAAGTGTCTGAAATGCTAAGGACTTGGTACTAAGTAGTAATAAATGTAATAAACAGAATTCCATGGAAATAACAATAATGTTTTGTTTGAGCTATGAGTTTGTATAAATATTTTTCATATTCTCATATAGTCTCCAGCACATTCTCTGAATCTGTGTATTATATTTTATCCACTATGGTACACTCAACTTAGGGTAAGCAGTTTGTGCAGCTCTGTGCAGCTCTTATAAGGTGGTGCTAGGATTCTAGCCAATGCAGTGTGACTGTACAGCTGCTATTTGTAGTCACCAGGCCAGTACACTGACTTCCACAACACTTTAACCTTCACTCATCTAACAATTGTTGTAAGTCCTTGGATGTCTGATAGGCACTTTGCTCCTAGGGAGTTTATAGTCTTGTTATCAAATACATTGTTGTAATGTATATAGAGTACAAGAGGAGGTAGGTTCAGTATATGACAGGAGCTAGGTGATTTGAAGGGCACAGGGTACCCTAAAAGAGGGCAGGGCATTCTAGGAGTCTGTCAGGGTAGCTGAGCAGAGCCCTGGGAAATGCAGCGGCCAGAAAGAAGCAGGGCTCAAATTGTCAGGTGTCTTCTCAAG